GCGAGATGACGTCATGGTGAAGCCGTGGATATGATGAATTGAATGGAGGTGATCGATCGTTGGGTAATTTGGTGGCGCGGCTCGACGGCGGTCAGCAGAGAGAAAGAGGGAGACGGGGCCGGTAGGTGGGCTCAGCACGGCCTTGCCTTGGCGGGATGTGATCGACGCGATCAGAGCATCACACGCGCGGACACAATTAGACAAGCATGTGCATCCATTGACCGGCATGGCCCACGCGGTCGCAGTGCCATAAATGGCAAGGCGATGGTGAGCTCCACCACGTGCACGCGGCAGCGACGAGCACCAAACCATGCCAGCAGCGACATAGGGGTGCAGAGGGAGGCACAGACGTGATGGTGAGGCGACAGCACCTACAGTGGCTGCGTCGTGGCATGAAGCAGGTCGGTAGCGCCGTGAGGCAGGCGGCCGCACCGCTCGACCATGCGTAGAGCCGATGGCGGCCAAGACAGGGTAGTCACAGTCGGCCACACGTGGTAGTGCGCGTGCACGCGCAGAGCGAGTCAGCGTGGCGACGTCGCGCCCCGAGACGTGATGACCGCGCTCACCCAGTGAACTAGCCCAAAATCATGTCTTGCATGAATTTTAAAGCTCCTATAATAACTAAATGGTTGCTTCTGGACCTAAACCATCTTCACCATACTCAAGATGGCATGTGAGGCTATCAACCTGAGCTAAAATATGACACCATCCTTTAACTCGATTTAACAAAATAAATTGCCAAACATGAGATTGTCTTGCTGTCTATAAACTTGAAAATATTCTAAGTCTTTGAGCTGAACTTGATTTCAAGTTGCATTTCTAGGCCATTAGAAGCATTAGCTAGTGAAGTTATTTTTCAACAGCAAGGATTTTATTGTCATCTACAAAGTCTGTACTCCAAACTTTATTTAAGTGCTACATATATGTTCTATATTGTTTTTGTTCAATAAAAAATAGTTTTCAACCCTTCTTGATATACATGAATTATGGAGTAGCTTTTCATTTAACATTTTTTATTGATTATCTTAAGTTCCAAAAAAATTCACCCACACATTCTACCACATGCGTTATCACATAAACATAATGCTCATGACATGTTTTAGTAATTTGTTTAAGGCGTAACACCGAGGGTGTTACATTATCTTAGAAGAAAAACCTTCTATTGCTAGCAAGAATAATCCTACTTTATGGCCATATTTCTCCCCCTCCTATTTACAATTGAGAGTTGTGTGGTTTTACTTGGTACCACCACTCTTTCTGGCATATACTTGCAACGGATTAAGACACCTTAGTAATCAGTAAATGTATTTGGCAGTTTATTTGCAATATTATGCAAATCAAAAATTCTTTGAACTCAACATTTAGTACGTGATCCTGAGCTTGAAATGTCTTATGCATTCTAAATAATTTCCTGGCATTATATATGGTACTTCAAATCTCCCCCCAATGCCTAGAAATGCTCATTATCTAAATAAAACCAGCATACAGTTCGTAAATAGATCCTCCATAAGATATCTAAATACTTAACAATCGACGGAGATTAAAATCTCACATTGATTACTAGTTTCCTGTGTGTACCCATCAATGTATGCTGTGGTGGTAAGATTGGTACGTATACAACATAACCCAATCTTACGCAAATAGAAAATCTTCATGGATTTCCATGTACTAAATGCATATAGGGGATATGCAGTTAATCACAAGTCAAGAGTGTGTAAATCTACCTGACCCCAACACAAAGTTGGCAAATGGCAATTCACTAACAATGGTCCTGCTATGACCTTGATGTCATACTCATAGATTCCATTTATTCTTTTGATATATAACTAAACTTTTGATATACCAAACAATCGTCATTGTAGGCACAAAAGTTCAGTAGTGCTCAGGATAATGAGCTCACAACAAGAGCCATTATTTACCAAATGTATGGCTAAGTGTGGATACTTCACACACTTTAGATCATCTTATAGATGTATCTTCACAACCATGAAATGGCTAAACTATCCATACAATCTTTGTATCGGATCCACACATATTCTCTTGAATATGATCAAGGAATATAAAATATTCAATCTGATTTTAAGATAAGAGGGTCTTAAAATCTGTTTTCCTGTGGCACTTATCATAGCCATACTTTGGGAAAATCATGACCAAAGAATTACCAATAGTTTTTCACCCATCCCTTTGGATGGCCAAGTTGATCATTCCAAATCCGGAATGCATCAACAATGTGAAAAATTATCTTATACGCAACATGTTGTACGAGGATGGTTGTATGCATAATACAACCAAAATAAGACTTATCTCATTACTTATATGTCATATCTAATGTTGTCCTTTTGTGTTTCCATACAAAAACACATTTGGATATCTCTATAATTTGGTAAGACACAAGTCGAATTAGGACATAATTAAATATCATCAATTACTAACTAAGTATTCACAGGAAGAATGATGGTGGCGAAATAGGCCAAACTATCATTGCATCACATTAGCGATGGCCAAAATTATTCCCTCTTCTTGTGTAAGAACCAGGAATATTTTGCTTCTCTAATTATAGAGTTTGTGGTACAAATGTCCACTAGGCATATATCATTCCTCATTGGAATGAGTCCCGTACAATCTATATATGACAAGAGTTTAATGAGATTCTCGTCTAATATATAGAAATCCATAAATATTATCGAGTATCAAATATATCAATATGATACCCACAATAGTTATGCGTTGACAACACAAGTATTACAACATCTTCGATGGACATTATCACATATTATAAATGGACCATGAGATTATCCCAAATCTCAAAACAAATCATTCGAAGCATATTCGATGATCATGTTATCCATCTATGTGATGTTCTCTTTACGATAAAAAGAAAAAGTGTTGTTATGTGATCCCATAAGATCTCGCATAACAACCAACCTTCTAGGTATATCCTATGTCATCCCGTATAGACGTTTTGATATAGATCAATTACAAACTAAAGGGTATGGCATTGTTTAGCATGATGCTAAACACAGCCACATATATGACATTACTCTGTCATTCTGGGGTTCATATTGCCATCACTCATATTGCACTTTAGGCCTTTTGCTTTTACTAGTGGAAGCAAATTGTATGAACAATATGATCATAGTCTTCAATAATTTGAAAAACTAGAGACATGATCCACTCATGATTAGCCTCAAGCTATATGAGTTTATTTATTGTTCATAAAACTCCTAAAGAGTGAGACACAAAGAATGTGCATTTTTTCATAAGATAATCTTATCGAAAATCTTTATGGATGTGTGGTACCTTAACAATAGTAAGGCACAATTTCCTTTGATCCATAACAAACAACCCCTAATTGAGGTTCGTTAAATTCTTCCAATAGTTCATGGGATAAAAAAAAGTTGATGTCCATTGTCCATATGGGATAGTGATGCCATCTAGAGCAAGTTCATCAAACTCCTCTAAAGTCACTATCCTCAACATGTGACAGACCATTGATTTAATAAATTTACACCTATGGTAAAAAAATCACTATGGTGATGTTGTAATCTACAATGCAAAATTTAGAGAGTTCCATATCTTATCACTTTGTTTTTGATAGTTGGAGGTAGTGACAAAACTATAAACCTCACAACAACTAGAGGTAATCATAAAATATGTAGACCTCACAAATGATCATTATTAATATTGGCACACACATTGTAGATAATCTCTATGTCCAAAACATAGAGTAGATCTCTCAGTAGTAGGTAAATAAATTGCTGCTATGGGCACGGTCTCTAGGCTGATATATTTATATGAATATACCACTGCCATAGGCACGGTCTCTTTGCTGAATAATTCAAGAAGAATTAAACACAGCCAATGTCTAGGACTCCATCACTTGTGTTATGATCCCATATGTATCTAAGATATGCATTGGAAAATTTTGCATAATCTATTATTAATTAAGCAACACTTAATTAAGAGAATTCACCTATGTTAAAATGCAATTTATGAAAAATTGCCAAATAAACAAGGTCAATAAAGTACATGAATAAACGTTCTACTGTACTAAAATTACTAAGCATATAGTGCTTTAGTTGGCTAGTGGCAAAACTATGCAAAATCCCGTACGATCAAAGCAAAATTTATTTCCTATGTTAGCCTCACTAGCAAAAATTGTTTGGCTACCATTTTACCTTTTCGGATTAGACTCATATAAGCCTAAATTTATCCATCGTTAATTAACTATCAGTTAATTAATTAAGAGGATCTAATTTTGTTGCAACTAAAATTAATTGCCAAACAATAAAATCGACGAACTATGTATGTTTAGACATAACAATTTTCTAGTCTTAAAACCAAACAAAGTATAGGAGTAAAAGCTCTACCTATACTAATACTGTTGGAATCCATGACTAAAACAGAAAATCATAGACACATAAAACATATCTAAACATGACAATAGTAAATTCAACTATAATATAATATCATGATGCAATTTATGAGAATTGATGTCTCAAAATTATCTATTTACCCTGGGTAAATAATTACATCATAATTTATTTAGATACGAGGTCTAAAACGACTATTTATATGATATATAATTGCAATATATTGCAGTGATGTGTTGAGGCTAAACATAAATAATCTATTTAGATTATTTTGCAATTCATATGAACGATAAAGGACTTCTATGCAAAATGGCACAACCTTATCCCTTTCCTGGGAAGCCTCACGGACGGTTGCCTGCAGCCCTGCAGCGTTCGGCCTTTCTTGATGCATGCGAGTGCGCCGCTGCCGCCGTTTCCGGCCCGGGCCGGCGAGCACACAGCTACAGACCGACTGGGCGCAACAGTCGTTGGTGCCGGTAACCGCTGCCTACCGGGTGCGCGGTCGCGCCAGGCCGAGCGGACTCGTAGCCCCAGCCGTCGCCGGCGGGACACGGAGCCGCTGTCCTGTGGCCGGTCGAGCGGGTGCCACAGCCGTAGACGCAGGCCAGGCATGCGGGTGCCGTCGCCATGGGCCGAACGGGTGCAGCCGCCTCTGCTTCGAGCCGAAGGGGCGCGACCGCCACCGTGGATCAGGCCGCCAGCGCCAAGCCGCGGACGCCGCCGCAACCTGCGCCGAACTCGGCTATGGATGCCGTCGCCACCAGTGTGTGGCGCTCGAGGCCGATGCCGTCGCCACCAGTGTGTGGCGCGCGAGGCCTCGAGCGCCGGGCCGAGGACGCTGTGCGGGGTCGCCAGCCGCGGGCGTGGAAGCCGCCGCAGGGGCGCACGCGGGCACCGTCGCCGCAGCGCCCGAGTGCGGGGATCCACAGCCGACCGGGCATGCGGGTTCCGCTGCCGATCGAGCACTGCCACCGCATGGCCGGGCACGCGAGCGCCGCAGGCCAGAGGGGCACAGAACTCGTCCGTCGTTCGATTTCTTAGAGGTAAGAATCTCGAATTGGAAAAAAAAAAATGAATACATATCGTTCTTGGATTGAGGCTTGCAATCCTTTCATGTTCTTTTCCAATTAGCACGCGTTCAACAAAGCCAAAGAAATTGTTTCCATGCTTCATTTTCGATGTTGCCGAACGAACGCAATAGAGCAAGGCGGATGCCTGCGTGACTTCTCTGTTATCCTCCCTTCTGCACTTCTCGTCTTCTGTTAAGGTGGAAGACGGCCACTGTGTTGCAGATGTTGAAGGCCATCGGCCGTGCGAGAGGAGAACGAAGACTTGATCTCCGATTGGAGTGGAGGCCGCTTCCTTGCATACAGCGACGCCGGCAAACTCCTCCGGCGAACTGCTTTTCGGCCTTTCTTCTCAGGGAAGAACAACGTGTGCGTGATAACGTGTTAGAAAATAGAGAACGAGAGAGAGCAAGTTGATGCAAATGATCTCTATTCTATTCCCAATATATATATATATATATATATATATATATATAGGGTCTATATCAACGGTTACACGTGTGAAAGAAAAAAAGGTGAAAAGACACCCTTTGAAATAATCTCTAATTGAACAATAAATAATAATTCTCAACAAATTGCACTTCGTCTTCAGGGTAACTGCTAGCAAGACGTGAGGATGGTGCTGAGGTGCTGAGGACCGCGACAATGACGCACACTGTACAAGCAACGATATTGGGAAAAGTTGGAGCATGTTACAAGACAAATGGAAGAAGGCAAGTGAACCACCGAGAATCACGTGGAAGATGGATGTAGTGGCTCCGGGAAGCTCAAATGGGACTGAAAGTCTGGAACGACATACAGTAGAGCTCTGCCTCAGGAAATGCAAGTGTCTGAGAGTTTAGTTTCTTTAGAAGTGTTACATTCTGATCATATAGCGGTGCAAGTTTTTCAGAGCATGGACTTAAGCAATGTCCGTGGACGCGCCTCGAACACTTGGTATAGAATGGTGACACTTCTGTGTACTTTTTTTTGTTTCAAATAAAGCGGGAAAACCTTTTCAAAGAAAACTATGGAGTTTGGTTGAACTACCAGATTAAGGCCTTGTTTGGATGTAGTCGTATTCGTATCAATCCACATGTGTTGGGGTGGATTAGGGTGGGATTAACACATGTGAATTGAGGTAATATGATAACATCCAAACAAGAACTAGAGGATTAACATAAAGCTCGTGAAGCACAACAACACTGTAAGACCATTAAGAATGCATGTAGTAGATTACAAAAAATGTATCAAACAGTGTAAATCCTCAGGTTTTGCTAATATTATTTTTTGATACTAGGTTTTCCTAATAATGAGGGGGGGGACTCCTCTGTTAAGCATCACAACCGGACAAAACTCAGAAAAGGCTTCTGGAGGCGGAGAGAGGAACGGCATGGCCAAAGGACGTTGGGCTCCAAGGGCCCTAGCCCTTTCAAAATAGCCCATTAGATGACGGGCCACCAAGGGAGAAGGCCATTTGTGATCGGCCCGGCCTCGTTTCACCAACAGGTGTTTAAATCGCTCAGTTTTTTTTCCTCTCAGAAACAAAACGGTACGAGCACATCTCTATCCGATCAATTTTTGGGTGTATCAAATCATGAGCTTACGATCGAAGCTTACCGATTTTTTTGTTATATAAGAGAAGATCACTTTCAAAACGGAGAGAAGTTAGCTTCCCTTTTGAGTTTTGTCACGTTCAGTGCACACAAAGCAGACATGAACCCATGGCACTGACCATATAAACCTGCCCGATCGAAAATAGAATACAGCAGTATACATACACTACACAAACAATAAAAACAACCTCCTGAATCAAAACGATTAAGTACCTAAATTGCCTTAAAAAGCTAGGAAGTACATCATGATCCCTCAGAAGCCTACGGTGCCACCAGAGCCAGACCACCTGCTATTGGCTGCCGACGCGGCGCTCGTCCGGTATGCCCCGGACGCCGCCGACGGGCGCTGGTTGGCGTTGCTCAAGTACTGGCGCACGGGGTCGCTGCTCGCGGCCGGCGCGGGGACGGGGGCGGGCTCTGCGGACACCACGTACTGCTGCACCACCAGCACCGACACCGACATGGAGAAGTCGGACGACACGAGCATGTCCCCGATGGGCCCCAGCTCCGGGTTCTCCATCCACTCCTCCAGCGCCGCTGTCATCGGCGACCCGACCTCGCCGGGGCGCCGGCCCACGATGTACAGCTCGTGCAGGTTGTTGTCCATGCTCCGCATGGCCGCCACCGTCTCCTCGCTGTTGGCCACCATCCGCATGGCGTAGGAGATGGCCTCGTTGCCGTGGTTGCGCGCCCGGAACTCGTTGAGGTAGTCCTCGTCCTGCTCCTGCTCGCTCTTGCCCTCAGTGCTGATGGTGATGGCGAGCGAGTCCGAGTCGACCGACGGGCTGTAGGTCGAGCGGGAGACGGACCGCGACCTGTAGTCCGGCGGGAGGAACCGCACGATGGTGAGGGTGACGCCGGGGTGCTCGACCATCCTCCACGCGTATGCGAGCGCCTCGCGGTCGTCGGGCCCGCCGAAGAAGAAGAGCGCGACGTGGTGCTCGGTGGCCATCCGCGCCGCCGCGGCGCTGAGCCCGTGGTCGACGAGGATGGCGACGGAGCACGGGGACGTGGAGAGGAGGCTCTCGTTGAAGCCGCGGACGTGCGGGTTGATCGGCTCCATGCCGCCGTCCACCGTCTGCTGCTTGTGGAACGGGACCACGATGAGCGAGACGTGCTTGTCCTCGGCGAGCACGGACACGTCCTCGTGCATGCTTTGGTACGGCGACACCGCCGCCAGCGTCTGGATGGACACGCCTCCTGTGTCACACACGGCCAGCATGCTATGCGTCATCTACTCAGCTAATATAATTAGGAGCTCGTGCAATTGTATCCTGTATCCTGTCTGCGCACTGACCAGTGTGCCTCTCGTAGTTCTCAAAGGCGTTGAAGATGTGCTCCGTCACGGGGGGCAGGGAGGATCCCGATCCGGTCCGGCTCTGCTTTGAGGCGGAGGAGGCCGCGGCCGCGGCGAGCATGTTGGAGGCGCGTCCCGTGAGCTCCACGAGGTGGAGCGCGTAGATGAAGATCGGGGAGCGCTTGTTCGGGTTCGAGAGCTCGAGCAGCGAGAGCACGGACGGCACGTTGCGGGTGGTGTGCACGCAGGTCAGCATGCGGAGCTCGCTGTCGTGACGGATGCGTTGCAGGTTCCGCCGCTTGTAGCCCACGAGGCGCCGCGACGGTCGGTACACGCCGGTCACCACCGGCGTCACCAGGGTCGTCATGCCCACCGACACCAGCACCATCACCGCAAACGACTCGTCATCCAACACCTGCAACGCACAAAAATATAAATCACATTCATCACCGTAAATCATAATCAACGCACTGACTGTTGTGACACCAGTAACAAGGCACTATTATTAAACCTCTTTGTCTCTTCCAATGTTGAGCACGATCATTTCCACGAGCCCCCTGGTGTTCATGAGGAAGCCGAGCGCGATGCCCTCGCGGAACGGCATGGTGTAGAGCGCGGCGATGATGATGGTGCCCATGATCTTGGCAAAGCTGGCCATGACGAGCACGAGCACGAGAAGGCCAACGGTGATGGGGTCGTTTATCTTCTGGACGTTGGTGCGCAGGCCACTGATGGCGAAGAAGAGCGGCAGGAGCAGGCCGGTGACGAAGTCCTCGATCTTCTCGATGAGCACCACGCCGAGCGGTCCGGTCGGGATGACCAGCCCGTAGACGAAGGCGCCGAAGACCGAGTGTATGCCGATGGCGTCGGTGCACACACCAGCGAGCATGACGCCGGTGAGGATGAGGGAGACCTGCATGTCGCTGACGCCCTCGCCCTCGGGGGTGCGGCGGATGAGCCACCACATGCCGGGGCGCACGGCGTAGAAGCAGAAGAGCACGAAGAGCACCCCGGAGAGGAGCACCCACAGGGACGACAGCGCGGCGCTGTCCGCCTCCGAGATGGCGATGGCGATCGCGAGCAGGATCCACGCGCACATGTCGTTGACGATGGCGGCGGACATGGCGATGCGGCCGAGGTCGGTGCCGAGCAGCTTGATCTCGGCGAGGATGCGGGCGAGCACCGGGAACGCCGTGACGGAGAGCGCGACGCCGAGGAAGAGGATGAAGGACGTCTGGTGCACGTTCCGCGACACCTGGTGCCGGAAGATGAAGGACGTGGCGACGCCCATGCAGAACGGCAGCGCCATGCCCGCTATGGCGACGAACAGCGCCTTCTTCCCCGACCGCCGGATCACGTTGATGTCCATCTCCAGGCCGACCAGGAAGAGGAAATAGAGGAGGCCGAGGTGCGCCACCGTCTCCAGCGTGAGCAGGCTGCGCATCGGGAACACCATGTTCGCCCAGGTGTCTATCTGCCCCATCACCGACGGGCCCAGCAGCACGCCGGCCTGCATGCACAGACATGAATACATGCATACGGGCGCATTACGTGCAGGAAGGAGAACACAGAGGTAGTACGTACGAGGATCTCAGCGATGACGCGGGGCTGGCGGAAGGGCCTGAGGACAAGGACGAGCAAGCGGGTGGTGACGACGATGATGGACGTCTGGAGGATGAAGAGCGGGAGGGAGAACTCCAGCGGGTTGAACCCCTGCCAGATGCCGTTGGTGGTGATCATCATGGGCGAGTAGCACACCACGGTGCTGGACGCCTTGGGCATCGTCGCGTTGCGCATCTGCTCCGTGACGTTGCCCGGCAGCCCATCGGAGATCGGCATGGCGTCCATCTTGGTCTTGGCGCATGGCACGGCGAACGCAGACCCTCCTCACCGGCCGGTCACCGGAACGAAGCCCTCCGCGGCGGCTCGCTCTCTGCTCTCTGCTTCGTGCGTGTGCCTCTGCCACGCGCGTTACGTTTCAGGGACGTGGCAGCGAGAGCGAGGCTTCACCGCTCGGGGCGTGCGCGCATGCGCTACGACGGAAGGGCGAATGGGTCAAACAGCAGAAACATGGGGGACCGA